AAGTGCTTCAAGTCCTCTTCACTTTCAGCAAGCAAGGTTGTGTCATCTGCATAACACAGGTTGTTAATGAGTCTTCCTCCAATCCTGAGGCCCTGTTCTTCTTCATATAGTCCAGCTTCTTGGATTATTTACTCGCTAAATATTCCATGTGCGTCATCTAATTTCCCAGACTCCTGTGTAGTTAGGTTGGGGTCACGTGACTGGGTCTGGCCAATGGACTGTGCTGAGCCTGTTAAGAGCCTGGTAATTCACTTCCATCTCTCTCTCTTTCCCTCCTGTGGTGACTTAGGAGTCCACATCATCTTCCACATAGCACAACCCCAAGATGGAGGAGGCCACTTGGCCCTTCACATTAAACTGTATGTGAACAGTGGACCTGTCCTGACTAATGAAATGTCAAAGGCTGTGGGAGTTGAGTATGTTCAGGACTAAGAGAAGCCACTGGATTTAGCAGTTAGGAAATCACTGGAGAGATTTGAGTGAGTGATTTCTTTGGAATAGTGAGGGTAGAAGCCAGGCTTCTTGGGGATGAGAGAGAATATGTTGGGACAGTGGGGAAAGGGAGAGCGGAAAGGGACTAGAAGGAGGCACCATGGACACTGCATGCCCAACCTGAATGCTGCCCTCTCCTCCCCCTCCTGCTCTCAGGAAGTGTGAGTTCAGGTGGCCACAAGGTCTCCTGCGTATTCTTAGCTGTTTTCCGAAGACAGATAACGAATTGCATCTCTGTGCCCCTCTGCTTTGCCTCCCATTAAAGAGCCTGTGATTGTGTTCTCACATCAATGTGCCGTCTCCATTTCGTGCTCTCGTCCCCTTGCACAATAAAAAGGCAGAACAGAAAAAATCAAGCCCTTTGTCACTGTGTCTCTGTCATGTCACATTTCTTTGCTACATGTCTTACATGCCACTGCTTTGCTGCTTCACAGGGTGGGGTGCAGGCTGAAAGGGCTGGGTCTCTAAGAACAAGCCCCAGGCCTCTGAGGGAGGGCCTGAGGCCAGGACTCCTGGTGCCCTGGTGGGAGGGGCTAGAAAAGGCATTCTGCTTAGCACGTCCACAGCCAATTGGGCTAGTGGCTATTAGCCCAGAAGAAAGGACTGTCTCAGGCCAGGTAAGTGAACCAGAACAGTGGCCACCTTCCTTATATGTCCTGTCATAATCCTGGGAAGCATGGTCTGGAAAAGTGTAGGTTTTGGTAGAGGAATGAGGTGGGAGAGGAAGAGATACGGAGGAGGGTGGAAGGAGGGCACAGAATTGGGGGCAAGTATGGAGTGGCGAAGGAACTCTGGTGTGCAGTGGTTAGGCGCTCGACTGCTAAGCCAAAGGTCAGTGGTCCAAACCCATCAGCCACTCCATGGGAAAAAGATGTGACAGTCTGCTTCTGTAAAGATTTACAGCCTTGGAAACCCTATGGGGGCAGTTCTACTCTGTCCTGTAGGGTTGCTGTGAGTTGGAATGGACTCGACCACAATGGGTTTGGTTATTTTGGTTTCTAGAGTGGCGCGTCCAGTCATTGGCTGTGTGCTTTTGGAAAAGTTGTGTCACCTCCATGAGCCTCCATTTCCTTAGATGTAAAGTGGGGATTATAACAGGAGTTCATCACAAATTCTGAATAAGTGGGATTCTAGCTAATGAACCAGGGGGTCCTCAGTCAAATTATTGAAGGAGGGGAACTTTGATGCCTCTCTATCTCTCTTGGCAAGCCTCATTTCCAAATTTTGATATTGTGGCCCACTCTATAGGACCCGAGTGTCCTGTCTCAACCCCGTAGACAATGGGATAACAATATGGGCCAGTGGAAAAAGCAGGAGCTTTGGGGTTGCACAGACCTGAGCTCAGATTCCCATTTGGTCACTATTATCTATTGCTGTGTAATGAATTATCACAAATGTAGTGGCTTGAAACAGCACCCATTTATTAGCTCACAATTGTCCAGGTAAGATTTGGTTAGGTTCTATACTCAGGAGCTCACAAGGTGTCCACCAGATTGTGTGTGTTTTTATCTGGGGACTCTTGGGAGGAATATACTTTCAAGCTCATTCACATTGTTGGCAGGATTCAGTTCCTTGTGGTTTTAGAACTGACAGTCCTGTTTCCTTGCTGGCTATCAGCCAGGGCCACTCTCTGCTCCTAGGAGCTGCCCACATTCCTTGCCATGCAGCCCCCTCCATTTTCAAAGCCAGTAATGGAGATTTTTAACATCTTTTTTTATTTTGGGGGAAATATAAACAGTCATAAGCCATTTCAACAGTTTCTACATGTACAATTCAGTGACATTGATTACATTCTTCAAGTTGTGCAACCATTGTTACCCTCCTTTTCCAAGTTGTTCCTCCCCCATTAGCATAAAATCACTGCCCCCTAAGTTCCCTATCTAATCTTTCAAGTTGCTGTTGCCAATTTGATCCCATATAGATAGATCTTAAAAGAGCCCAATGCTCAAGGCAGATATTCTTGACTAGTTAAGCTGAACTATTGTTTGGTTTTAAGAAGACTTTATGGGATATTTTCGGTTTAAGGTTTAAAGATTATCTCAAGACGATAATTTTGGGGGCTCATCCAGCCTCCACGGTTCCAGTCTGGATTCCATGAGAATTTGAGTTGTGCAACCATTCTCACCCTCCTTTTCCAAATTGTTCCTCCTCCATTAACATAAAATCACCTCCCCCAAGCTTCCTATCTAACCTTTCGAGTTGCTGTTGTCAATTTGATCCCATATAGATAGATCTTTATTTTTTTTATTTAAAAAAAACTATTGTGATTTAGATGAAAGCTTACAGCTCAAGTTAATTTCTCATTCAAAAATTTATACACATACTGTTTTGTGACATTTCCCTCCCACGTTTTTAGTCTCTCCAAATTCTACTGTCTCTGACCTCTAGACCCAGATTTAAAGGGCTCATGTGGTTAGGTCAGGCCCACCTGGGTGATCTCCCCTTGTAAGAGTCAACTCTGCCATCCCACATAATCCCGTCACATTCACAGTTCACACCCACACACAGGCAGGTGCGGGGAATCTTGGGGGTCATCTTAGAATCCTGCCTAGCACAGCTCCTTACTAGTTGTGAGAGCCTGGGGAGGGTGTTAGCCATCCTAGACCTCAATTTCCTCTTCTCTACACGGGGCTGGTTGTAAGGATTTGCAAAGCACCTAGTGCGTAATAAAGCTTAATAAATTGTAGGGCCATCCTCTCTCACCTAACAGTTGTCTCTCAAACCCTTCATCAGGGTCCAGCCTTCCTCCTATCATTATAGGGGAATTATTCTTCATAGACTGTGTCCCAGTGGAAACACACCTCCCTATAGAATGGGAAGTGGTTAGAAGCACAGTGCAGAACTACTTTGACTTACTGGGCACAGCAGTGACCTTGGAAGTTGGTTAGAAAATGCTTTCCCTGAATTGCACCCTGAGAGTCTCCTTAAGTGGGCCTGGGGTGGGGCCTGGACCTGTGTTTGTAACAAGTATCCCGGCTGGTTCTGATGCAGGTGGCCTGCGGGCCACATTGAGAAATCCTGTGAGTGGTTACCCGCACGGACTCTGGAGTCAGTGAACCTGGCATTAGAGCCTGCCCCACCATTCCCACAGGGAGTCCTTGGGGAGTTGCTTGACCTCTTGAAGCATTAGTTTCCTTATCTGTGAAATAGGATCATAATAGCTGCTTCACAAAGTGGCTCTGAGGGGTCCATGCAATAATCCCTGTAAACAGCTCAATTGCATTTGCTAAATTCTTACTGTTTTAACAATAATAATAATTATTGTTATTATAGCCCGGTGTCCCGTGGGCTTGCTTGGCCTTCCCTCTGGTTTGCTGGCTGTGGGAGTCTGAGCAAAGGGACAGAAGCAGGGTTCTGAGCTGCTGTTTCAGACAGAATCTTGTCTGAAGTTCAGGGAGCTGGTGGGACAGAAAGGAGACATCCCAGCTCCAGCCCTTTGTGGCCTTCTTGCCTTTCTCTTCCTCCAAAGCCTTCCTTGGGTGCATCTGCCTTTCCCTCCGGTGCCCTGGAAAGCAGGCCAGGCTCTGCAGAAGCAAGCAGCCTCTTGCTCAGGGGCCCGGGGCTGCCCTCCTCCAGCCCTGGGGCTGTACCCTGGCCTGGGGGCAGGCAGGTCCCTCTGAGCAGGACTCCATGTGGCTGTGGCAGTTTCAAAGAGAGTTTCTTCTTCACTGAAGTCATTTCCGATTCTCTATTGGTGGCAGCGTTGATATAACTGTCCCCAGGACCATCTCAGACCCCCAGCTCCCTCACGCTGGGCTTTGATGTGGCCACAGCAGGATCCAGGAGAGGACACGGCCAACCAGGCCAGTGGGCCCATGTGCTCTGTGAAGGGAAGAGAGGTTGAAAGCAGAGAAACTCTTGAAAATTCTTATTTTAATTTTCTTCTGTCAGTTCGGACAAAGCTTTCTCGAGCTCCTTCAGCTGAGAACACACCAGGTCCACCATTCCTGCTCAAAAGCTCTAAGGCCTGGGGTCTGGTGGCTCAGGGAGGTTTAAACACGCCCCCTTTCTCCACTGAACCCCCTTATCCCTGTATTTCCTTCGTTTCCTTTTCCCCAGCACCCTCAGCTTCCACACTCAGCCTCTCTTTCGGCTGTCCCGCTCTGCCTGAGGGGAGGCACGGGATGGTCTGGGGCTAGACTATCCCCAAGGTGTGGTACGTGCAGACGTGGGCAGGGGCCCAGGGCTCGGTGGGTGGTCTCAGGCCTGGAGGAGTCAGCAAGGTGTGAGGGGGCTGCTTCTGCCCCCTCTGCTGCTCTCAGTCCTTAGGTGGGAGAGCAAGGGTAGGGAAGGAGTGAGATAGGGTGTGGTACTAAGCTTTGCTCATTTGGGGACTGGCATTGAGGGGCAACCAGGAACTCTGCCTGGTCACACTGCAGCATCCCAGGCCTAGCAGAAGGCCAGTTTGTGCCTTGGGTGCAACTGCCCAGTCCTGGGGACAGCAGCTAGGACTCAGGGACAGGCAGGTCCCTTGGCAGGAGGCTCAGTGCGGCCATGCCATTGTCACAGGCAGCTTTGGACACCTTTTCTGGTTCCCCTGGAGGCAGCCATTAGACCTGCTCTCTGAGCCCTGGAGGGGGGCTAGGCCTCGGCCACATCTGCCAGACCACACAGCTCACCACCGGGCTCTCTCCTTTCCTCTCCACAGCGGCTCCAGCACAGCACTCCCAGCCCCCACTTGGCTGTGTACGCGGGGACCTGCGTGCCCCCCTCGCCTTCCAGCCCCTTCTCCTCATCCTGCCGCTCCCCGAGGAGGCCCTTCCCCTCACCTGGCCGCTTCCGAAGGCCCAGCAGCACCATCTGCCCCTCGCCCATTAGGGTGGCCTTGGGCAGCTCCCCGGGCCTGGAGCAGGAGGGTGAGGCCAGCGGGTCCAGCGCCCGCCATGGGCCCTCCGTCGCCAAGGGCAGCGAGGCCTCCATGGACTCGGAGCTGAGCTCAGGGTGCCCCCGGCCCCACGCCCAGCCCAGGGCGCCACCCAAGGCCGGCGTGGCTCTGTCCTTCAGCAGATTTCTGAGGCGCGGCTGTTTGACCTCACCCGTCTTTGCCAGGCTCTCGCCCAAGTGCCCTCCTGTGCCCCATGGCAAGGTGCAGCCCCTGGGGGATGGGGGCCAGCAGCTGCCCCGGCTGAGACCCAAGAAGGTGGCCAAGTAAGAACCAGAAGGGGGCGGTGCTCTGTGCGCGCACGTGTGTGTGCATGTAAGCCTATGTGTGTGTGGGTCTGTGGGCGTGTCTGTGAATGTGTTTGTGTATGTCTTTGCGTGTGCACGTGGGTGTCTGTGCACGCATGTGTGGGTATGTATGTGCAGGCATGTGTGTCTGTGGGTGCCACTGTCTGTGTGTAGGTGCCATGTGTCTGCATGCGTTTGTGTGTATACCTCTGGGTGGGTCTGCGTGTATGTCTCTGCGGTGTGTGTGTGTGCGTGTTGTGACTCTGTTGTGTGACCGTGGTCTACAGCTGGGGGCAGGTGGAGTGGTGGTGGCAATGAGAATTCTGGGGAAGCAGATGTCGTACATAGGCTGTTCAAATCCCTTGGCCACTGAAAATTTTCCAGAAACTCACTTTTGTCCTCCCCCCTCTTCCTGAGAATAAGGAACGAAAACAGGTGTGTTTTTATGTTTATTTTTTTCCATCTTTTTTTTTTTCTTCTATGCGCTTCTGTGTCTGTATGTCCCTGGGTGGTGCAAATGCTACTGACTGAAAGGCTGGTAGTTTGAGTCCAGCCAGAGGTGCCTTGGAAGAAAGGCCTGATGACCTACTTCCAAAAAACAGCCATCGATAACCCTGTGGAGCACAGTTCTACTCTGGCACACATGGGGTCACCGTGAGTTGGAATCGGCAACTAGTTTTGTTTCTTTCATGCACTTCTACCCACCCTGCCCCATTTTTCAAGGACAAGGAAGGTCAGTGGCAGCAATGGGACCCAAACATGGTGCTAATATGCAGAGGGCATTGGTTCCAGGGGCTCCGGCACCCCACTTAGGCGCCTCTCCCCCACCTCCCTCTTCGAGACCCGCTGCCCGGCCTGCACGCACAGAGCTTGGCAGAGCTGGCAGGGATCCTCACTCCAGCAGAAGTTTCTGTGGACTTCTGTGTGCCCAGACTCTCCCCGAGAGGAGGCCCCTCTGAACTCCATTTTGGGTGGTCCTGCAAGCCCGACCTCTGAGAACCCCAGGTGCCCCGGGGCAGCTCGCTGGGCACAGAGCACAGATATCCCCTCGAGAACCTCTGGGCCAAGGGAGGAAAGAAAGGTTGTAGACAATGCAAAACACAGCATCAGCCCCACCTTTATGTGGTTTTGGAGTGGCAGTTAGGGGTACCCTGCCACACCAATCCAAATGCTCCCGTTTGGCCCTGACTGGCTTTGGAGAAGTAAGACTCTGTGCAAGATCTTAGGTTGCCATGGATACCCAAGGAGCAAGGCCTTGGCTGAGCAGAAGTTCTTACTCTCTTCCCGTCTGTGTCTGTCCAGACAGGCCGAGAGGAGAGGGACTCTGGATGCCTTAGGAGAGAGGTCAGCGTCCAGTGTGGGCGTCCTACTGATTTTCCCAGCTCGACCTCCCCGGGAATGTTCTAGCTTTGTGACCACTGGTATGCCTCACACAGAGGAATAGGTTGTTCAGATCACTTGGCCACCGAAATGTTTCCCGAAACTCAGTTTTGTTCCCCCCCACTTCCTGAGAAGGAGAGGGAAAAGGTGTGCTTCTTTGCCGTTTTTTCCCTTCTATGCTATTTTAGGAGCCCTGGTGGCACAGTGGTAAAGCATCCAGCTGCTAACCAAAAGGTCAGCAGTTCGAATCCACCAGCCACTGCTTGGAAACCCTGTGGGGCAATTCTACTCTGTCCTATATAGTATCGCGATGAGTCGGAATCGACTTGATGGCAATGGGTTTCGTTTTTGACTTTTTATGCTATTTTAAAAGAATCTCTCCTCAGGGGCTGGCGCTTCGTTGTAAGGCAGTTTAAAGAGGGTGAGAATTAGCTACCTGTATATCCTATAGAGGAGCCCTGGTGGCACAGCGGTTAAACACTCGGCTGCTAACTGAAAGGTTGGTGGTTCAAACCCATGAACCACTCTGTGGGGCAAAGATGTGGCAGCCTGCCTCCGTAAAGGGTTACAGCCTTGGAAACCCTATGGGGCAGTTCTACTCTGTCCTATAGGGTTGCTGTGAGTCAGAATTGAGTCAACAGCAGTGGGTTAGAGTGCCCTGCTGATTCCCATCACAGAGGCTTTGTATATGCTGTCCCCCCACCCCCCGCCCCATCATTGCGCATATAACTTTTGGTAGCTACATCTGTGCCATCAATCTTCTCCAGGGATGTCAGGGTGAGCTAGGGATTTGTTGTCCCTCCTGCCCCACACTTGTTTTCCTCTTGCCTCTGAAGCTTTTTCCAGATCAAAATGGACGTGCCTATGGGGAGCGGGACCTGCCTGATGGACTCGGAGAAGGATGGCGCGGCGGGCGAGTCGAATGACCGGGCCATGGAAAAGGAAGTCATCTGTCCCTGGGAGAGCCTGGCCGAGGGGAAAGCAGGCTGACCCCAGGCCACCGATCCAGAAGAAACTCCCACTGGGACTCCAGCTCCACTGAGCCTGGATGGGGCAAAGGGCATGCTTGTTCTCAAACCAAAGTGCATTAAGATCATATTTGGGGGCCGGAGAGACAAAATGGGGTGGGCTATGGGGAAGGGTGCTCTGCCTGGGCCCCCAATGGCCACCTCCTTCCCGTCCTCCTGACTTCCCCTCCCGTGGGCAGAAGAAAGACCTGTGGACCGGAAGACCTTACTGGCTGCCTTAAAACCGATAAAAGGTTAACCTGTAATTCTCTCTGGTTGGAACAGCAGGTGTTTCTGGTTTTATTAAGTTAAACTCCTATCTTTGGTTTTCTGGATAAAAGGGACATGGAGTCACTACTAGGAACTCCTTCCCTTTCTAAATCAGTTTGCACATGATGCTTGTAAGCTCCCCAGGGGCATGGTACAGGGTGTGGCATCTCACAGGGAGGGGGTGGAGGGGAGGCTGGGAAGAAAGGCACACACCTAGGATGCCAGGTGTTGCTTCAGATCCTCTGGGAAGCAAAGCAGAGTTCGACGGGGAGGTGGTTATTAGGGGAAACACTTGGGAAGGGTAGCGGCTGGGTGCTGGAGCAGGTGGGGAGAAGCTGCAGCCCACAGTGCAGGGCTGACCTCTGGGAAGGGGGGAAAATCAAAATCTCTATGTAGAGGACTCTACGAACATTTAAGCCACCTTGCCCCTGGGCAGTGGGGAATCCCTGGGTGGTACAAATGGCTTGGCTGTAAACCCAAAGTTCAGAGGTTTGAGCCCACCCAGAGGCGCCTCCAAAGAAAGGCCTGGCAATCGACTTCTGAAAAATCAGCCATTGAAAACCCTATGGAGCACAGTCCTACTCTAACACACATAGGGTCACTGTGAGTCAGGGTGATCAATGGCACCTGGTTTGGAGGTGGTTGGCACCGATTTTTTATTCTCAGCCTTTGGGGTAACAGCAGGAATGGAGACAGAAAGAGTCCTTTTTTTAACACCCCTTTACATTTGTCCAAGTTCAGGAACATGGTGATCTTTCTTCTCTAGAAAGTGTACATCAGAGCAAGTTTTTTCAGCATCCAAAGGTGGTTGCCCCTTTGCCCTCTAGGGAGGGGACCCTTGTCGGCTTCTTAAGGCTGTGAATTCACTGAGCTTTCGAGGAGATGGTGGTTTCCCTTGTTTATTTGCTTGGAAAGAAAGGAAGAAGGTTTATTAAGGAGTCAGTACCGGCCACTTACTCAAGGAGACCCTGGTGCCCTGAAGGTGAGCTGGGGAGGCTGACGGGAGCACCAGACTCTCCCACGCTGCGGTCTCAGAGGCGCAGCTCTGCGCGGCCGCCTCTTCCTCACACTTCACCAGAAGAGGGAGTCCAAGGCTCACAGATCCCCAAAGAGAGGCTTCTGGGATTTTCCCTAGAGGAAAAGAATTCGGAGAGAAACTGCGAAGAGGCAGTTTCCTTGATGGAAAGCCAGAGAAGAGAGCGGAGGAAAGGACCTGCCTCTCCTGTGCGCTTTGTCCTCCTGCGCACTTTGTCCTCCTGTGCGCTTTGTCCTCCTGTGCTCAGCCCCGGGCTCCTGGAGCTGACCCACACAGGAACCGGGAGAGAGAAGGCCTTTGTGGGCCTCATCGCTCCCTCACTGCTGGGGTCCCCGTGGGGTCCTTGTAGGGTTCTCCTAGCTGCTGTTCCTGATGGCGACAAGGAAGTGGGTGCTCTGTTCCTCATGACTTTTGGTGAGGACTGACACTCTCCCCCTCTCCTGCTGACTGTTCCCCATGGAATTTCACCCTTTGAGAGTCATCTCCCGTGTCAAGCTCTGACTCCTGGGAATGGAAACCGATTAAGCCTCATTTGTCTTGCCCTCCTCAGCCGAGTAGTTTATTAGCTCCTCTGTTGAGGAGGTGAGGCTGAAGGACTGGGGCATTCGGAGAGGCAGCACGGGGTGGTCTATATGGGAATAATGGTATCAGAAACCGAGCTTTTCAATTTCTCAGCTGATGGAAGAGACCCAGACATGGTCATATGACAAGGGGTTGAGAGAGAGGGAGGTCATTTTCTTCTAGAGAGAACACAACAAGAGTATTCAAACCCCTGTGAGTAGGGGCGTATCTTAGGGACTGCTGGTTTGGGGTGTAAGCGCCGTGTACATCAGCCAGTGTGGAAGGAAGGAAGGAGACTATCCGTGTGCACAGAGGTGTGTGTGTGTGTGTGTGTGTGAGACCAGGTGATCTGTGCATGCCTGGAGCCTCTGTGTGGGGCTTGCATGGGAGGCTGTGGGCCTGGTGCTGACTGCAGTGGGGAGGGAAGGCACACTGCAATACAGCTGTAGGGGGCCCAGGGTGGTGCAAACAGTTAAGCTCTTGACCACTAGCTGACAGTTTGGTGGTTCAAACCCACCCAGAGGCACCTGGGAAGACAGGCCTGGTGGTCTGCTTCCAAAAGGTCCCAGCCTTGAAAACCCTATGAAGCAGTTCTACTCTGCACACGTGGGGTCGCCATGAGCTGGAATCGACTCAACGGCAATTAACAGCAACAATACAACAGTAACTCAAGGTGAACTTGAAGACCACGATGCAGATGGAAAACCGTCACCATATGGACATCATCAGAAGCTCAGTGTTAACGAATCTTCCTGACTCCATAATGTTTAGGGAGAGGTGAGCACAACCTGTTAGACAAGGGAGCTGGTGTGCAGTGAGGTTCAACAGATATGGCCAAGGTTGTGCTCTGGGATGGTCTTAGACAGAATTATAGCATCTTCATTTAAAAAACAAACAAACAAACAAAATCCTTGTTCATAGTCCATATTCCAATCAGCTTTTGTCATCCCCATTCCCCAATCTATAAGTAGGTACCAAATTGCCTTGTGCTGAAGGACCAGATCTTGGGGCTTTTGGGATTCCACCAACCATAACTGATTTGCTTACATTTATTTAAAGAGCCCTTTGCCATACACGGTGAAATTCTCCCTAGTGCTTGCATTTAATCCTCACTACAGCACTGTGAGCCCTGGTCGCACTGTGGTTAAGAGCTACCGCGAGCTACGGCTGCTAGCTAACCAAACGATCGGCAGTTCGAATCCACCAGCCGCTCCTTGGAAACCCTGTGGAGCAGTTCCACTCTGTCCTCTAGGGTCGCTATGAGTCGGAATCGACCCGACAGCAACGGGTACAGCGCTATGAAGGTGCCCTGGTGGTGTAGTGGTTACGCACTCGGCCCCTAACCGAAAGGTCGGCGGTTCGAACCCACCAGACTTGCCAGAGGAGAAAGATGTGGCAGTCTGCTTCCATAAAGATTACAGCCTTGGAAACCCTATGGGGCAGTTCTACTCTGTCCTATAAGGTTGCTATGAGTTGAAATTGACTTGACAGCAATGGGTTTGGTTGGGTTTTATAGTGCTGTTGGGGGGATGGGGGCGGGGGTGGGGGCGGGGGGAGCATCACTCTGTGGTTCCACTGCTTGTAAGTGGTAGAACTCTCCAGTCCAGGTCTTCTGATCCCAAGTATATTTTCTTTATATATTGTATACTGTATTTTTATGCATATAGGCACACTTTTTCCGTTAGTTTGCCACTGTGATTCCCCCCCTCTCCCCGCCGCCCTGCGAGGTACTTTTGTAAGCGTGCTATGCTAATTTTTTTGTAGCAACATGTATATATATTTAAATTTTGAAATTTAAAAATACAAAAACGTTCAACGAACAATATAAAAAATACCCATATACATCATCTAGAATTGACTAATTTTAATGTTTTGCTATAATTACTTCCAATGCTTTTTTTTTTTTTTTAATAGGGTAAAACAATGCCTCCATCCTTCTGCCTCCTATCTCTCTTTCTCCTATCTTCCATGTCGGAGGTCAGCAAAATTTTTCTGTCCAGGGCCAGATAGCAAATATATTAGGTTTTGTGGGGCCATACGAAACCAGATTGTTTTTGTTTTAGGGAGATTTGTTTTCAGCCTCCTTGCTGCAGTTCTGCCCTTGAGGTAGCTGATGCCCCCACCTCTTCCCCAGTCATGCAATCTATCCTGCTGGCCCCCGAGTCAGGCCTCAGGATGTCAGTACGGGGTTGGGCCATCCTGACCCCAGAAAGTGACTTAGGCCCCTCAGGCACACCCTGGACCCTCATTGTGGGGCGTCCTGCTCTGGAGATGCTGGTTCCCGGGTTGTGGAAACAGAAGAAGCAGGTTCTGCCGACTACTGCTTAAAATTCACGTTGCCATAGCAGTGTGGCACTTGGCCAGGTGATCCTGCCCACAGGGCTTTGATCTCAGGGAAGGCAGGGCTGCTTTTGCTCTTTAGCTGGTTCTAGGGGGGACACTGCCTTGGGATCAAGCGTTGGCTTTGCTTCTGAGCCTGGGGACTATCCCAGAAGTGGGAAGCAGGGGACAGGAAGACAGAGGATGAGCCCCTTAGAAGTCTGTTGAGCCCTGAGAATGCGATTCTAGTCTGAGGGAGTCAGCTCGAAACCCTCAGGGCAAGAGATCTCAGGTCTGGAGAGAGAGCAGTCGGATGGGTCTGTAATGAGGGGATGGGTGTGCACGGCTCGACTTGGGAGAAAAGAGCAACGGGGGAGGTTTGTGCGTGTTTTTGGTGACTTTCAACCCTTTCTCCTTTTCCCTAAGGAAGCCGGGTGGTTTATGAATAGATGTGGCTGAGCTCAGCAAGTCCCGGCAATGCTGATAATCTAAGCATTCATTCAACACACATTTATTGAGAACCTACTTTGTGGCTGTGCTGGGAGATACAAGAATGCTCATACAGTTTCAGCCGTCAAGAAGTTTCCAAGCTGTCAGGATACAAAACCAAAAAAAAAAAAAAAAAAACCCAGGTGCCATCGAGTCAATTCCGACTCATGGTGACCCCATGTGTGTCAGAGTACAACTATGCTCCATAGGGTTTTTAGTGACTGGTTTTTCAGAAGTAGATCACCAGGCCTTTCTTCCGAGGTGCCTCTGGGTGAACTTGAACCTCCAACCTTTTGGTTAGCAGCTGA